CAGCTCAAACCCTAAGGAAATGTTGAAATCGCCCAAATTGCCTCCTTTTTTCTCTCCATTTTTCTGTATAGAGCCAATGTATCCCCACGATACTATAATCAAGATAAAAGAGCATGATCATTGACAGTGTTACTCGCTACAAACTAAGCCAAATCGGTATTGTGTGTGAGACAATTGAAGTTGGGCTAAAGAGACTTAATTTAAGTCTTAATCCATTGCAAATTGAGGGTAAAAGTGTCATTTTACAAATTTCAACAAAATCGTGAAGGAATATTATATCAAACCATGCTTTTTATTATCTACTCCACTCTATAACAACAATGAAGGTCCTCAATATTTGTACATTATCACACTTAGAGTGTGTTTGATTGAAAAAATTTTCATGATAAATGGTGTTTTTCCACTCGAATTTAAACTTTTGGATTGTTTGATTGTCATTTTCTAGATGAAAATATTTTTCAACCTTTGAAAATGTACCTAATTTTCCTTGTTTTCGTGAAGGAGGTAATCCAGAAGACATCTACACCATTCTACCCCATGTGCGTGTGCGTGTGTGTATAAAATTAAAAATCTAAAAAAAGGAGTGATTTTCATTTTTTAAAAATAACTTGATAAAAACTCCTAATTTTTAAGTGCAACTTATTTTGATATCAAATTAAAAAATCTTAATTTTTAGATTATTTTGAATGGATTAATTTTGGAGGGTTGAATTCGTCCCTATAAAAAGAGTGATTTTCATTCTTTAATTATAACTTGATAAAAACTCTCTCGATATTTGTATACTATGTTTTTATAGTTTTGGCAACTTGGTAAAAGCTATTTCCTTATCACCCTATAATCGTGTCCATCAAAGGAAAATCAATTGTAAGCTATTAAGATTTTATTTTAGAATCATGCAGCGTTGAAATACTCGCATGAAGGGCAGGTCACATGACTTTAGTAAATCATCCTTGTGCAACTCCCTAAGACTTGCTTTTTAACTGTCTACTTATGTTTATGTTGTTGAATATTGTTATTTAATCGATAATCTACCCACAAATAACTCATTTTCCCCACCCCACCAGATATAGTCAGTATTATGAAAGCTAGTTGAAGACGAAGGAGGGTGCAAGCATGGTTTTTAGCTGTTATTAGAATAATCATGTAATTGTCTTGTTCAAATAAATAATATATTCATATTTGTGTCAGTATGTTGTTAATATTAATATCTTTCAAAATATATGATTTAATGGATACACACAAAGACGAGCTTAATTACTAGCAGAAAATTCTTTCAACACCATTTCAAGAGTTAGGACTTGGGATGTCCAGTCAGTGATGGAGCTAGAAGTTCTTTATAGTCGAAAAAAACTTGTTCCAATCACGAGATTTCATGTTATATTCCACTTTGAGGGGTACGATTTTGAAGTATTCACGGTAAACTTCACAAATTATCTTTTGAATTAAAATGCCCTAAAATTGTAAGGTCAAAATAATAAGTCAAAGATGACTACTAGAAATGAATTTAATGACTTCCGGGGCTAAATATTGTTGCAATCATGATTTTTCGGGATATGTTCTTCACTTTTTGGAGTGGATTCTTAGTACGGTTTCGAAGTATTCATTGCAAACATGATATAACATCCAAATACCATGAAATTGCAGGGTCAAAATACTAAGCCAAAGATGGCTAGTAGAAATGGACTATTTTCAAGCAATGTTCTTCACTCAGCGAAATAGGTTCTTGGTATCATTTTAATGTTTTCATGATGAAGTACAAAATGCATCTTCAAAAAAAAAAAGGGGGGGGGGGGGGGGGGGGGG